ATTGATGCTGGATTTTGACACCAATTATTCGCACGTGCAAAGTGTTAAACAGACTTAGAAATTAGACGTGAACTGGAAAATGAAACAAATAAAAGGGATATGATATTTAAAGTGGTTCGGATGCTCAAAATGAATCCTACGTCCATTGTCTTTTTATTTATGAAAAAGTATAATCAGGTCGCATACAGCGATCTAAGAGAACAGAAATACTGAGAGGGAGTGAGAGAGTGTTTATGTTATCAGAACTAGAATCCCGAAAAATGAGTGAGGAGCTCTCTATTTATAGTAAGAGGTTTCTAAGTAATGATTATGGGTCTGCCAGCGAGCAGGTGTTGTGCAGTTCCTACCCTACTTCTCATTGGCCGGTTGCATGGAAGATATCCTTAAATCGCGCAAGGTTTGGGCAAGTGGGTGATTCCCAACCACTCACTTGCCAAGCCTTTACATGCTAAGCTGATGACAGCCTTACTCATTTTGTTCTTGGACGACGTGGCAGCGTCTGGACGGCACAATGCCTTCCTGAATTCTAATTGGTCCTTGCTGACGTAAGTCTATGTCAGCCCTAATTTTTTTAGGCATAACAATAAGTAAATGACATATATATTATATAAATAAAATAGCTCGAGCATGTTATGTTTTCTATTTATTTAATACATTAAAATTAGATATATTTATATGTACTTATTCATTTAGAAAAATGGTTAAGAGGTAGCCTTTTCTCACTCTATGTGTTTTTTTTTTTTTTTTCATTTTTGCATTTAGAATATTTAATTTTAAAAATTAAAACGCAAATAAAAGCAAAATGACACTCTCTTACCTATTTCATGTTTTCTTAATTAAAAATACTATTCATAAAATAATGGTTGAAAACTTGAAAGGGCATCTCTTTCTCACGCTAACGCGTTTTTTTTAATTTCAAAATATTTTAAAGTAATGGTTAAAATTCCTCTTTCCATCTCATCCAAACCCTTGCTGACTTAAAAAGGGAAATGGTGTAACTCTTGTTTTTCATAATTTTTAATTAACTTGTGTTTAGTATAATTTCCCAATTTAATTATTATATCTATTAAATCATTTTAAAAGCATTTTTTTTTTTTTAAATTTAAATGTACTTCTTGAACATGATAGGTGATATACACCTATATTTAATTGAATTTAATTTTAATTTAACTTTGTTCCAATTTAACGGCTTTGACTCAATTTAATTTTAATTATTATCATTTGTGAAGCAAAGTCAATATTAATTTGACATATTGGATTGAATTTCCTTCACAATTTCATCAAATCATCAACTTTTTGCATAAAAATACAAAAAAGAACAAGTGTTTTAGGTTTGGGTCAATCCTTAAAACATTAGTATTAACTTCTTTTTTTTTTTTATTTATTTGTTGATATAAAAATTATTTGAATAAATTAATTAGCTTTGTAGTTGACAACATCAACTAGGAATTAATTATACATAAAACTATATATTATTACTTATATCATAATCAAGCCCCTAAATTATTTTAAGTAATCACAAGAGGTTCGGCCGGCCCTTGCTAAACCTTTCTATTGTATTTAATATTAAAGAGTAGTGCTATTTGGATCAATTAATTCGGATCAAAAACTTTTTTGGGAAGGTAAATTGCCCTTAGTAAAATAAAATTATTTTTGACTCCTAAACCCTGCTTTTTGGAGATAAAAAGACAATTTACACATTGACATTATGAAAAGATGAGGGAGAAGTAATTATTACTTCAATGTTTTCAAGAATAGAGGTTGGAAAGTATGAATTAATTTAGTATAATAATTAAATTGCTTTAAAAAAAAAAAAAAAAAAAAAAACCCATGAAAAGGTACCCATTTTATCTCCCAAAGTTGTAAGTGTAATCCCCTATTGCAAGTATATGTTTTTTTCTTGTGTCAGACCTTTATCACCCAAGATTGCAAGTATAAGAACTATTTGCAACACATTGATTTTCAATACATTTTCATACAAAAGCACACCTTTTTATCTCATTTTTGCCAATAAATGAATATGCTAGTTCATATTGTGATAAAATAGCTGTTGGATAAAAATGTTTTTTGTAATTGATCTAAATATTGTGTGGATAAAATAAAGAGAGCTGTAAAAAAAAAATGTTTTTCATATATCAATGTTTTATGTATATGTATTCTAAATATTGATAACAAAGTATTTTTTTTCTTAAATACTCTTAATCACCTTAAATCATGATTATATATATACAATATTATGTGTATAAGTCTCGTATAGAATGTTTTAATATATATTTATGAAGGTAATAAAGTATAAAGTCTCGTATAGAATAAGTATGCAATGTCATTATGATAAAAGTCATTTTCTCTATATTTGTTTAATAAAATTAGATTGTATTAATTTAAAAAATGAAAGAAAATATTAATATATTTATTGATCTCTATTCAGAGAATGTTCATAGATTTTGTACAAGAGATTTTTTTATCTACGCACAAACAACTTAAATTTCTATTAAGCCAACCATTGTAATCCAAGTGTTCATATTTCATTTGGTATGGTTTTGTTTATTAATAAGTGCTAATTTTTGTGTTGGAAGGAAAACATTGTTTGATTTGGAAGGGCACTATAGAATTTGGAGAGCGAAACGTGGTATTGGAGCAATTTTTGGCAACAATAAAGATATTGTTTGAAATTAAATTTTTATTACAAATGTCTTGATTATAAATTTATAATTAAACTAATAATTGTTGGTATGAGTCAAAGTGTAAAATAACTCTATTATATAATTAAATTAAAATATTGGATTTGTTCTTGGTAACAAATCCAATGTTTTGAAAATATCTAGTAGAATTTGAATTTCAGACTTAATGATGCGGGAGAGAATTAAACGAAATTTGAAACCATTCTCTCTCTCACCATTAAATCATTTTGTTTACTTTTTAATTCAATAAGGACAAATAGGTCTTTTTATACATGAATTATCCTATGAAAAATCAAATATATCCTTATTTTATCCGGATCAATTGATCCAACAAGCATTTTTGAAACAACCAAATTATATAAGTTTGGATCATCTGATCCGGGTTAAAAACTTTTTTGGAAAGGTAAATTTACAAATTTACCCTTTAGTAAAATAAAATTATCATTAACACATTTATAAAATAAAAATGATTTAATTCATATCGATTATTGCTAACCAAGCTGTTAAGGATAAAGGAATTGGCTCCCAGTCATGAGGCCACTTTCACTCTTGTTTCCTAAACTATGTAGATTATCCATTATCATATTCTATTTTATTCTAGTAACTTAAATTGGAACGGAAATTCATAGTCATTGATTTATTGCAGTACAACAAATATGAGATAAAAGTTGGAGGTGGTTATTTTCAATGCAACTCATCGGCTCTTAAACCATTAGATTATAATAAATTAATGATTGAAAATTTATGTCAACAATTTAAATAAAAAATTTAAGTTAAAATATTTTATTCCTTATTTATAATAATAAATTTAATTAACATTTCATACTATGAACATGAAATTTACATCTTAAAGATATTTCTTAGTATAGTATATCATAAAGTGATTTTATTATTTGAAAAAATTAGTTATAATACATGGAATAACTTCATTTACCATTTAAAAAATGGGTTAAATATTAAACATGTTAGATATTATTTAATATTCACAAAAGATGGTAATATTATCATGTGATTAAGATAAAAGAAAATAAATAGATTAATTTTATTTTCTTATAACAAAAATGGAATCACTCCCAACGTGAAATTCTACCATTGCCTCATGCTAAACCACGTGCAAACTTATAATTTACTATTATTTTTTTTGATAGGGATTTATTAATAATAATTATTTATCAATTCTTCTCTCTAATAATTGAAGCAAAGCCAAATGCTACCCAGGTGCATTTTCAGCCGATTAAACGTTATAATTTCAACCATAATATATATATGTATTTATTTATCTAAAATAATAATCGCTCTTATTTTTTTTATAGATTAAATTAATAAAGAATTAGAATAAATAAATTACATTCATTCCCTTAGAATTTGACCTAAACCACTGAATTTTATAATAATTCATGTTGATTTCAATGATTTAAGAATCATAAAAATTTTCGATTCAAGAAAAGTACCAAAATGTAAAATAGTAAAGCCTTTAGATATTGGGGTTTTAAAATTATATAATTTTTTCAATGTACTAAGGAAGCCACCCATGCCACCCCCATCAATGTGGTTTTAGTCAAATCTTAAATCAATAATAATAAGTAAAATTACAAATTATTATTAAGTTATATAATTTGGTTGTTTCAAAATAAAATTAATCACACAAAGCTAAACTATTGAAGCTACTTTTCCACATTCAAAATTTGATAATTGTCTTGACTGACTAAAGACTTGTGGAAATATCATGGCAAGAGTAGTGCCAATTATTGAGGGAAAATTTAAGACTTGTCAAACCCTCCATACATTTAATTTATTAATTTTTTGACCCCAATCACACTAGAAAATGACCCCTCACAATTTTAGACCAGCCATTTTTTTTTTTTTTTAAATTTGTATTTAAAATTATAGAAATTAAGTATAGATGGTCTCTCTTATGCTTAAATCAGCAATAAGTTTGCGAGCATTTTTCAGACTTGTTTCTTGTATCTTTAGGCTTTTTTAGTGGGCTGAAAAATTTCTTTAAATTATTGGGCTTTCAAAGAAACGTCTGGGCTTGAGCTAGCCTTTATGGGCTGTAATCAATGACATGTCTTTTCATTTTTTTTTTTTTTTTTCAAAATAACGCTGCGGGTTTTGAATTTTGAATTTTTTTTAATAAAAAAGTGAAAACAGTAACTTTCCTAAAATAAATCAAAATCGCAGAAGGAATAAATGCAAAAAATAAAGAAAACACAATGCAATTAGGAAAAATCCAAAAATATTTTTCCTATAAGTTAACGTTGGCAAACCAGTGTTTCTCGCTTACATTCTCATTCATATTCAATTTAATCAAATTCAATGGTTCCCTCAAAGCCAACAAAATTCAACAAGAGAAGATCAACGTTGAAGAACAAAGCGCAGCAACTGCAGACACTGAGCGATGTCATGGTTTGCATGGTGTGCTTCGGGGCCGACGGCGAGGTCACGACGTGGCCAGAAGACAAATCTCTGGTTCATGAAACGATCATCAGGTACAAATTAGCTCAATTCAGTGAGAGATCAAAGAAGAAACTCAAGAACCACAAGTGTAACCTAAATCTTTTAGGTTTCCTTGGCAGCAAGAAACGAAAACTCCAAAAATCCAATAAGCAAAATCCCCAGAAGAAGAAGAAGGATATTGGGAATTTGTTTGCAAATTGGAAAGCGAAGTTGGACAAGTTGCAGGAGAAGGAACTGGTGGCCCTGTGTAATTGCTTGGAGTCGAAGCTGCGGGACTTGAGAGAGAAGATTAAGTTGCTGGGAATGAAGGAGAAGGAGAAGGGGAAGGCGATTCAAGTTTATGGTAGCAATGGAGATAATAAAGAGCTTAATTTAGAGAGTCAGCAAGAAGTTTTTGCATCACCAAGTGGATTTTGCCGTCACAGTGATGTTTTATGGAGGTGTAACAGTGAGAATTTAGTTCTTTGCGGAGAAAATTGTAATGAAAATTATGTGGGTAATTGTTATGAAGATTTTTTAAGTGGGGTTGGAAGTGAAGATATTGGTTTCGTGGGAGAGAGTAGTAATAATATTTTGAACCCTGGTGATTCCATGCTTGGTCAAAGAGAAACAACGCCGATGCATGAAGCTTTGCCGATGTCTATCAGGCACTCTCCATGGCCATCCTCCAACGAGTTAGCTTCCTGAAGTGGTATTTTTATTTTTTTTGGGTAAATTCTGACGTCTTTGTTTTATATATATATTTCTTTAGAGTTAAGGAAATAAAAATTCTCCAATTTCACGAAATATATTCTTCTGTTAGTTTAATGAATTCTTATTTCTTAGTGTTGCATGCATGTTTTGAGACTGGAGCCCGCATGATTTGCTGTAATTTAAGAAATTAATCAAATACTGTAACCAAATCAATGTCGTTTACCTTATACGGTATATCTTGTTTGACTCCAGGTCTTAAAGAAATTGAATAGAAGTAATTTTTTTGGCAATCATGCCAGGGCAGTAAAATCTGTGTATTAAGCCGAATTTTGTGTAATAATAATAATATCTAAAGAACATTATTGTTGAGCGGCTGATGAATGGGTATAGCTATATATTTAGTTGACTATTCTTGTTGGTTCAATTGTGGTGCAAACTGCAAAGTTACCATGATTGCGTAGGATTTAAGATCTATTACTAATCTGAACTCTACTGGGTTCTTAAGTAATTAACTTCGCTTTTCTACACATCTTAAGTAATAGGAGCCATGCATACTCTTGCACCCAACACTTTAACAACAAAATCAAACTATATATACAGAGCGAGCTTCAGCAAAGATAACTTCCCACCAGAACTGTTAATTGCTTACATCTTGCAGCACTTCTAGCTACCTTACATAATCAAGAATATGAATTTCTTATAAGTTTTACTAGATTATGTACATACATTATTTTTCCATCTAAGAAATCTTTATGTTACATTGATTTTTTTTTGGTTAAAAGGTGATTATATAAAGAATAAAAAATTACAGTTAAAGCAAGGGGAACATCCTAACTAAATCAAGCCCTTGGACAGACCCAAGGAACAAGACTACACAAAAAGAACAAGGGAGATTTACATTATTGAAAAATTAGAAGTTAAAAGATAATATACAATATTGGACATGAACTTTTTTTATCATTGCTAATTAATATATTTATACACGGATTAAAAGAGGGGCATTAATAGGCACGTATACGACTTACTTGAATTGATCATAATATTGTTATTTAAGTTTAAATTTATATATATTCTATGAGTTTTCTCTCAATATTATTAATACTTACTCGATAACGAAGCATCATTATATATATGCTTTCAAGATTAAAATGCGCACACACACACACACACACACACACATATATATATAACAGACAAACTCAAAAAAGAAAAATGATTAAGGAGAAGTTTGGAGGAAAAATAAAACATTACTTCATGCTGTGATATATATTCTGTGCACTGCTGAACCATCTTTAGTCCTGCGTTTGCTCTCTGGATTGATCGATCATAGCTTCGCTATTATACAAAATCTAGATACAAAGTTAATTATACGTCCAGAGTCTCACAAGGGAGAAAAGAGAGCGAGCTAGGGCCAAGGATGACTTCCCGGAACACTCAGTACTTAAACTGGAAAGACGGCAAGTCATCCTTGGCTCAAATCCACTCTCCATCTCTTCATGCAAGACTTGCATATACTTCAGTCTACTACCTACTTATTTCTCTTTGTTCAATCTGCTAATATTTCGCAGCATTGCCACCTTATTTATAGGCAGAAAGTGCAGTGCGTGCATGCATATCATCATATATTCCAATTCTAAACATGATCTTTGCAGGAGGAATGTTGACTCTATAATAGCACAATTTGGGACCGCTTTCATTTTTGTCCATGAAATTAAGCATATCCATATTCTTACATCTTCCAAAGAAAAATGCCAAAGACATTAATTCTTTTTTTCACTCTCTCTCTTCTTAATAACATATATTTGAGGTCTATTGCAAGTTATTAATTAGTAGGAAATTGGTCTTTTGAAATCACGTGTGTTAAAATTTGAGGTCTATTGCAAGTTATTTGAGGTGCCCCACTGAGAAGCCACTAGGGTAAAGACAGCATGATTTGCGATTGTGGGAATAGAATCTTATTGGGATGGGCAATGGACTGACTGGGTTTGGACTTCTTAAAATGTTCATCCCTTTTACTGAAACTTCAGGAAACAACCACAACATACATTTTTACTAACGACATCAATAGATTTATTGTGATAGGGGTCAATTGATTAACACCGTCTTTGCATGAAAATTCTGCAAAATCACTCTTCTTTTTGCGTTGTATAAAAATTCTTAACCCAAATAGTACAAATTATTGGATATATTACTTGAATTGCCATGAAATTACAAGATCGATGAACCCAAATAGCCTTAATGGATATTGTCCCTAGTAAGTGTTTAATGTGGATCAGTTTTTATAAGGTCTAATGGAGTCGATAATAAATTAGAATAAGATTTGAGTAATTGAGACGATTTGATTGTCATGTGTGCGTAATATTTTATTACACGAAAATCTACCTTTTACTCATTCACCAATTAATGATCACTACATTACTGGAGTACAGGCTATATATTACATAAAAATCTAACTTTTACTTTTAACTTCAATAGCAGCATGATTATATTTTTACTTAATCAATATCAAAGAATTGACTTCTAAAAATCAAGGTCTTTCTCAATAAATGAAAGACTATAACCGACTTCGCAAATATTATGAAGCATGAAAACGAAACAATAGATTAAGAGAAATGAAAAAGAGAATTTATAAGCGATTGAGCTTGGTAACTAAAGGGATGAGGACTTGACTTCAGATATTTCTCTCTAATTACCTGGTCATTATTAGTACATATATAGAATTGTTGGTTTATAAAATTTTCTTTGCGGCTGTGTATACTTTCTTGAATTTTTTGTTGCATGTGTTGCACTTCAAAATCAAATCACTCCAAAAATGTTTTGAGGCAAATAACTCAGAGAGGTTTATTGTTAAAGTTAAATTCAGTAAAGCTAAGTTCTTCTGTTAATTCACTAAAGAACTTATTGTAAAAAACTAAATCATTAATAATCAAGCTAAGCTTGATCATTGATACAAATTAAAGAATCTTCATTCTTTTAAACAAATCGACACAACCTCCTATTACCAAATTCTACAACATGCATTGTTTTGTCTTTAATAATCTAGATAATACTCATTTAGTTAAATATAAATGGGTTGACAAAAGCTCTAAATGGTTAGTCTCAGGTAGCATTTGTTTGTTTGTTTTTTTTTTTTTTTTTTTTTTAGTAAATTTGAATTTGAAATCTTGAATTGTTCGGAAATATGACGAAAATACTTGATCTTGAATGATTGTTTTCTTTTAGTATACTGTTTGGATATTAGTGTAAACTTTTTTTTGCTTTTTGCAAACCAAAAAATTGGAAAGTTTATATTTTGATATGTAAACCCTTCTCAATCCTTAAGGTAACATTAGTTTAATAATAACTTGCATTTTATCTAATACAGTTACATCAAAACCAAAAAATTGAAAAAAAAAAAAAAAATATAAATCAAATTGTTTGAAATCAATCCTGAATTGTTTGTAGCTTAAATTGTTTTGTCAATTCTAATAGGAAAAAAAGGAAAAGGCTTTGAAGGGGTGATACACATATACATCATATTAAAATGTTGTAACTATTCACACCAAATCAACCAAAAACAACAGCAAATCACACAGCACAAGTCAAACAGAAAATGCACACACAACACACCAAGATTTACCGTGGTTTACTTGCTCAGATTGAGCAAGCTACGTCCACATTGAGCTCGGGAAACCAGCGAGCTCGCTGCACTATATTGATCAAGATTACAGAATACAACTCGACCACAGATTGAACCCTTTCCTAGACCTTTTCAGAATCTGTAACACCCTAGAGACACAGATCTAGTATCCCAAATACACTGTGAACCCTAGCACCCTCAAGTGGCCTACAAACCAGCCACTCAACTCCCTGTTACAAGATTCAAGATCACAAACAATAACCCAAACCCTAGCAGAGATAGTTTTCGTTTTACAGAGAAAGGAAAAACACGAATTTTGTTCAATGACTCGATTTGGACTGTAGGGTTGCTTTTATACTATTGACCAACTGACTGCTTTTCCACCGTTAGATTCTCAGCTAGCCAACGAACATGATTTATCTTTACTTTGCTCAAAACGACGTCGCTCCACTTAATGATGAAATGTCACCGTATAAAGCCATCACTTTAACAATCTCCACCTTGATGGATTTATTTGTGACTGTAGTGCAGCTTACTCTCCTTTGGATCCTTCATTGCTCTTGTCACTCTTTCCTACTGAATGAATAACAAGTTCAAGCAGTGCTTGAACTTGGTATGAGTGACTGTTTTGGTGCCCATGTCTGCTAGATTTTCTTCAGTTGACACCTTTAAAAGTGCTATTTCCTCTCTTGAGATCAGGTCTCTAACAAAGTGATATCGCACATCTATGTGCTTGGTTCGTTCATGGTACACAGGATTCTTGCTCAAATGTATTGCGCTCTGACTGTCTAAAAAGATTACAGGCCTCTGATTTGTTAACTTGGCTTCACTGAGGATTCCTTTTAGCCAGATGGCTTCTTTGAATATGTCAGCAACAGCCACATATTCAGCCTCTATTGTGGATAATGCAACTATCGGCTGTAACTGGGATTTCCAGTTGATGCAGTTGCCTCCTAAAGTGAAATAGTACATAGTGGTTGATTTCCTGGTGTCTCTGTCACTTGCAAAGTCAGCATCTACAAACCCAACCAACTTAAGTGAAGTAGTCCTTTCACAGTAGTGTAACCCAACATTTAATGTAGCATTTACATATTTAAGGACCCATTTCAAAGAAATCCAGTGTTTCATACTAGGGTTAGACATATACCTACTGAGTAAGGAAATTACAAAAGCTAAGTCAGGCCGAGTGCTAATCATGTCATACATTAGGGATCCTCTTACATTGGCATATGGTATATGTTCCATCCTAATCATTTTAGGTTCAGTTCTTAGACATTGTGACTTACTCAGTGTGAAGTGACTGGCCAGTGGCATTGTAACAGGTTTTGCACCTGCCATTCCAAATGTTTCCACTAGTTTGTGCAAATATGAACAC